CCCCCCCCCCGCATCCAACACACGAGCCCAGACTGGTGGCTCTGCCTCCGTCTATACTCCCTGGTCCAGTCCCCTCTGCCCTGATCCCGCCGCTCCAATCCTCACCGCCCTAGTCTGTCCTCCCCGTAATAGCCCCCAGAGAGCACTTGTGAGCACCTGAATCAGGTTGGCCCTCCTCTGCCCACCACCCTCCAGGGCTCCCACCCATCTTGGGGTAAGAGACCAAGTCCTCCCCAAGGCTCTGTATTCTCTGCCGGGTCCCCTCCCGGCCCTCCCCTCCTCGGTCACTCTGCCACAGCCACGATATAAGGCCTTCTCACTGGTTCTTCATCATGCCAGGCATGATCCTGCCCCAGGACCTTTGCACAGGCTGAGCCTCTGCCAGGAATGCGGTTTTCCCAGATCTCATGGCTCCCTTCCTCACCATCTCCAGGTCTCCCGACAGATACTTTATTTTTCTCCTTCTACGTGTTAAGATTTCTTACTTGACATATTTATTGTCGGTGCCTTGTCAACTAGACTTAAGCTCTGAAAGAGCAAGATAGTTTGTCTGTCTTGGTCCTTGCAGTGTCTCAGCACCCAAATCAAGCCCTGACATACCACGTGTGCTTAGTTTTGACAGAAGACCTGGCTGGAGTCTGGGGGAACGTTGGGGTACCAGTAGCACCTCCACTCCCCATAATAACAATTAAAAAATGCCCTCCAGATGGCAAACTGTCCCAATTGAGAACAAATGACATAGAGAGACACATGGAACCGTGTAGCTGACAGCAGCCATCAGTTAAATGCATGTCTAAACATTCCCTCTGTCCCGGTCCTGACTACCCCAGCTGGCAGGGACTTTCTAGCTTTGTTTTCCACCCATCACAGGCCTAGACTGCGCGAGGCCAGAGGGCGTGGGGGGAGGGAAGGCCTGGGACGTGAATGACGGCAAGGAGACAACAGGTTCATTGCTAAGTTGGGTTCTGCTGGTTTTGTCCTTCTGGTGTGGCTGGAGAGGAGAGGTGCCCTCCTCTGAGCCTCAGTTTCCCCATCTACGAAGCGGGCTACAAGACCATGTGGTCAGCCTGGGCCGACATGCCTGGTTTTCTGTGTCTCTCGGGGAGCTCCCAGGGCAGAAGCTGGGGCCTCCAGTCTTCCTCTTCCGCCCCCATCACCCCCTCCCACAGCCCCAGCCCCAGCCCGGGTCCTACCTTGTGCAAAGAGAAGGTCCGAACACAGAACGTGGCCAGCTCGATGGTGTCGAGCAGCGTGACCTGGATGAAGCCATACGTCTCCGTGCCCCGGTTGGGCCAGTACTGATCACACTTGATCTGCGGAAGGCAAGAGAACGGAGGTGAGCACGGGCGGGGGTTGGCCGGGGGCTCGGGGGCCGCAGGGTCCAGCCTCACCCGTGATTTCTCCTCTAGCCGCGTCATCATGACGATGGTGGCTGAGCGCTGTTCCCACACCATGCGCCAGAAGTCGCCGAAGGTCTCGGGCAGCGGCCCCTGTGTGGCAATGTACGCGTTCTGCCTCCGGTAGCCGTCCACATAGTTGGCATTGATGTAATCGCTACCCACAATGCCTACAGCCCGGGGAGAAGCCAGAGATCAACAGGGGTGCTGTCGTCTCCTACGCTGGTTCTCTCTGGCCCACCGCTTCCTGGAAGTCCTCCTAGACTGCCCCAAGCTCTCCCCAAAGAAACCACGGAGCATGAATTTCGTGGTTTCTCCACCTGAGCACTACAACCACTGGGGGCCAGCTTTCTCTGTGGTGGGGCCGTTGTGTGCATCGCAGGGTCTGAGCGGCGTCTCTGGTGCACCCTCGAAACGCTCCTAGCTCCCTCTCCCCCAGCACGTGAATGCTTCCTGGGCATTGAGAACAACTGACACAGAGGGACGCGTGGAAACAGATTACGGACAGCAGCCACCAGTTAAGTACGTATCTAAAATACCCCAGTGGCTTCTGGCTGGAGCCATGACCAGAATCAGGCTTCAGCTTCCCCCTCCGTGTCCTGGCTCGTCCACGCTTCAGAACGGGCAAGGGCGGGACGGGGCCCAGGCCGCTACCTTCGATGGGCTGGAGGATGACGCGGGAGTGGTCGTATGCGATGACGTTGGCGTAGCGGTTCTTGGGCTTGTTCACCTCCAGGTTGGAATGTTCCCACGTGAACTGCTGGCCTGGATCAATGGACTGCAGGGGAACGGGAGGTGGGGTACGGATACGGGGATGCGGGGGTGGGCGGGGGGGTGGAGGCGGGCTAGCTCACCCCTATACTCCTGGAGCTTGAGGCTGTCATCTTGAGGCGGTCCGTGGTGCTCCGGCCATGTCCATGGCGGGGATCAGTGGCTGCCATGCCTGGGGAGACCCTGGCATGGTCACTTGGGAGCCTGGGGGGCGGGGCGGGGGCTCTACAGTGTGAGTCTGGGTAATGGACGAGCCATGTTAGAGGGAGGAGCCGGGGAGGGGAGGGGTTTCAGGTCGGCTCCACACTAGCCAGGACCCCTGCCCGCAGGGATCTGCCTGCAGGAGTGTTCGAGAGCAGCCCAGCTTAGCCAACCCCGGGCCACTTATCGCCCACCCATTCAGTGCTCCCAACCCAGCTGGGATCTAGGTGGGCTGGGGTGGGCCCCTGGAGGACCCCAAGCTCCTCCTGAGCCTGGCAAGAAGCATATAGAAATGGAAGAAGCAGACGGGCTGGCCAGGCTTTTGGACACTGTTCCCAGGGCAGGCCGGAGACGCACCCTTTCTTGGGATCAGATCCTGGGACTAGGAAGGATTACAATGCCCTCTGCCGGGTGAGTTGAACTGGGGGGAGCAGGGGGCAGTGTGTGTGTGTGTGTGTGTTCTGGGGGTCCCTGCTTGTCTAAAGAGCTGCTTGAGGGTGGAGCCCCTGACTGGGGGCCTGCCTCATCTGGGCTGCACCCTCATGAGGGTTGCTGAGGGAACGGGCTAGCCTGGCCTTTCTCCCCAGTGGGTTCATGCCTGTAACACCCCTCTCCTCCTCTGGGGCCCAGCCGGCCACAGGCCTGGCCACAGGTCAGACAGACGTGATGACCCTCAGCTGGCTTAATGGGACAGCTGCTGCCCTGGCACTCCTAAAAGCCCCTTTATCTAAGGAGCCGAGGCCGCTTGCCCGCGGGTCCCCTGCCTGTTTCCACGCCTGGAGGACCCCCCCCCACCCCCCACAGACATACACAACTAGCAACCCAGGGCCTAACTGACAGACCCCCCACCTCCCCTTGAGAGAAGCAGCACAGGACAGGGTGGGACAGAGATGAAACAAATCGTGGTGCGCGAAGGGGAAGCTGAGAGAGACAGAACTTAACTTTCAAAGTGAAACCCCGGCTCCCTGAGGGGGCTGCTGAGGCCTGAATCTGCAGAAACAGCAAACAATAAATGAAACACGAAATTTCTACCCTCAAGCTGGGATTTATTTTAGCATTGGGCCTGGCCAGCCAACAGACGCAAAGGGCAGAGCAAACTGAGACGACGAGGGACGCACGCTGCCCGGGCCCCGACCCGAGAACCTGCAGCAGCTGCCGTGTACCCCCTCTGACTGGACTTCAGCCGGTCCTGGCTCTCAGCCGTGACTTCGGGAAGATTCTGAGGCCCTAGGCTCTTTTAACGCATCCCCCAGACCAACCTGGCCTTGGCGCCCGTTAGGGTCAGCAGAGACTTTAGATGAGTGGCAGGATGGTGAGGGAGGAGCTTGGGGGCAGGGGAAGGACATATGGGCCCATGCCGTGAGCTTTAAGAACAGCAACCGTCAGTTAAATATGTGTGTTAAAAATTAACATCTGGAGGGAAACGGAAAAACCGATGTAACCCAGTCCAGACACAGAAGAAGAAAAGTGGTACGTGAGAGGTGCCGCAGGAGACCCTTCACATCCCTTATGGACGACTGCAGCCATCAGTTACACTTTGTCTTAGCCAAAGGGCTGAGCAGTGACTGCAGCCATCAGTTAAATACAGATGTTTAAAATCTCCTTTTGGTCGGAAACAGTTAATACGAGACAGGAGACCGACAGGAAGCAGAGACTGAGTGCGCGTAGATGGTGGATGTAATCGTGCTGTGAGCCCAGAAGGAGAACAGCAGCCATCGGTTAAATTAAAAACCCCTTATGTGGTGAGAAGCAGCCGGCATGAGCCCAGTAAGAGGGAAAAGATGAGAAAGTATGTGGGTCACTGCACGTAAAGACGATCGAGGACAAGACCCTGGTTCGTTCAGTCTCCCCGAGGCACGGCAGGCAACTTTAGCTCGCTCCCGTGACTCTACAGGGAACCGTCAGGAGGCGGGGCCGCACACAGGAGCCAGGCAGGGCAGGGGGGAGGGGGGGAGGCACCATCTCTGTATCTCGCCACGGGGACACATCCCACGGGAGGATGGGAAAAGGCCACGGAAAAACCCGAACACCCACCACTGAGGGGCCCGGAGACCGGAAGTGGGGACGGAAGCATGGCCCTTTCTGCAGGAAGAAACGAGGGGGTTTTGGTCGGTTTGAGTTTTAGGTGTCCTTTCTGCTCCCAGGGACGACCCCGACCACCAACTGAAGGCAGCGTTTTGTTTTTAAAAGCCTCACTCGGCTGTAACGGGAACCGGTCTGTGGAATCTCCAAGCTGAGGTCCACGCGGGAAGGTGGGCAGCGGGCGCTTAACTGCGCCAGAGGGCGCAGCAGGGGCAGAGGAGGGGCCGCCGAGCGCCAAGGCGGCTGCTTCCTCCTCCGCTCGGCTACGGCCTCCGGCGGTGAGGATCCTGGCGCCCGCGGGAGGCACGTACCTGGGGTCTGGAAGTTAATGCGTCTCATTTCCACGGGGTCCTTGGGGTGGTGGGGGGCGAGGTCAGCGTTGTTCAGTAGGCATTTGGTGCGGGGCTCTGAGTCCTTGCGTTTACTTCGAGGGGGCAAGCAGAGGAGCCCGTGAGTGTGCCAGCGTGTGCCCAGCGTGCCCAGAGACGCACACGTACGCGTGTGAGCACAGGCGCCGCAAACGAGCGACCCAGCCGGGAGGAAAGGGACTGTGCACACGTGGGACTGGGGTTCCCGGGACCGCGCGCAGCCTGCCGGCACAGCCGAGGGTCCCCTCGCCCCGCGGGCACGGTGCCACCCTGTTCCTCCTCCTCCGCTCTTGCCCTATGTCTCCTAAGGATGGGGCCAACCCTTACCTGTCAGGTTTGCTGCTCCCGAAAGCACACGCGGGTGAGGAGGAGGGAAAAGAAGACAGGTGAGGCCATGCTGGCCAAAAAGGGCCTGTTCGGGGACACTGGGTGGCTTGCTTAACCCCTCAGAGCCTTGGTCTCCTCCGGAAAACGGGGCTAATGCTTCCCGCTCGGGTCCCCGCCACAAAAAGCAACGTCCCAGCCTTCCCTTTCCAAGCTGAGACGTGTCCTGTGTGGCCACTACACTCACTGTCCTTGGGAGACGAGGCAGAGGCGGCCTCCACCCCAAATCGTCCCGCTGAGCGGAGCGTGGACCTTAAGAGGAACCGAATCACGAGCCCGCTGTGAACCCCGGCCCTTCCCCAGGCTGTGTGACTTTGACCAGGTGGCTTAACCTCTCTGGGCCGGAGTTTTCTCGTTTCTGTTTCTTCCACGAGAGAACCCTTCGCTGGACCTTCCGGACCCTCCTTCCTCTTCCAGGAAGCCCTCCCTCCTACCAAGCGGGGAGTGCGAGGGGCTCACTTCTTGTAGAGCAAGATGGCGATAACAATGCAGATGATGAAGACCACAGCCAACACGGGCCCAATCACCCAGATGAGGCCCTCCTCGCCGTCCACGATGGGCTGGGGGTCTGGGTTGTCCAGCTGGAAGGGATCTGAGAAGGGGCTGGCCGCAAATGTCTGCAGGAACAGGGCGCGAGGGGCCTCCGTCAGTGCCCGTCCCGCGCCTCGTGGCCAGGTGGGTCGTCCTCAAACACAAACCCGTCTCCCTCCCCTACTCTAAAGCCTCTGATGGCTCCCGAGGACCCCCCACCCCGGGGACCACCCCGCCACGGCCTGGCCCTTGCCAATCTTTGCTCTCTCCCCTTCCCCCCCTGCTCTGCTTCAGCCCGGATCACAGAAGGCCGGGAGGATGGGGGTCTGGCTCGGAGGCCAAGCGCCCTGGGGGCTGAGGTCACTTCGGGGCCTGCCCGCTCAGAGGGCGAGGCTGGACGCAGGCAGGCACCACTCGGGACTCACCGGCTCGCTCTTCTGTAGCACCGCAAGCACGAAGAGGACGTATCGGTGACCGGGCTCCAGGCCCCTGTTGTCAAAGCCGCCGTACTGCTTCTGGTCGCCCGGGTGGAAGGTGGGTGGCAGCACGGAGAAGCGGGCCGCGATGTAGGGGCGGGGCGCCTCCAGCTGGCGTGAGTGCCGCAGGCTGCGCCTCTGCAGCCGTGAGATGTCCTGGATGAGCTGCGGGAACAGAGGTGCGGGTGGCTCAGAGCCCGGCCGGCAGCGCCTGGGCACACAAGAGGCAGGACGGGCCTGGGCCCCGGGCCCTCACCTCCTCCAGATCCATGTCTTCCGGGCTACCCAGAGGGGCCAGGAACTGGCCACCGCGAGACTTCCGCAACGGCACCATCACAATGAAGTAATTCCTGTCGGGAGAAGGAGGATCGGGGTGCGTCCAAGGGATGCCTTGGTTGGAGGTGGATGGGGGAGCCCCTGCTCTCTGCGTCTTCCCTCCTGCTACTCCTCTGTAGCCCCAGCCATACAGGACTAGGTCCTGACTCAAGCCTCCAGGCTTTTGAAGGGGTGGCTCCTTCTGCCTCGAAAGCTTACTCTGTTTCTATCTCTTGAACTCCTACACATCCTTCAAAGCCCCAGCTTCCATACCCACAACGTCCCCGTAGTCCTTAATTCTCCTCTGCTTCCCAAGCAGAGCCCTCCTCTCCCCGTTGGGAAACCCTCAACCCTGGTTGAATCTCATTCCTGGTATCCGGAACGGCAGAGGAGAAAACACAAGGCCGCCTTTAGCGACAGTGCCCGTGAGAGGTACCAGGGCAACCACGCGAGACGGGGGCTGCTGTGACTCGCGTTTTATAGACACGCAAGGAAACCAAAGCACAGAGAGGCCGAGCGCCTGGCCCCGGTCACAAAGCTGGCTAATGGGGGTGGGAGGAATCTTTCGGGGCACTGGGGTGGTTTGGATCATACTGGACAGGCACGGGGCTCTGGCCGTCGGGCAGATACACCATGATGAAGCCGTCAGAGTCGGGCTTGGGGGCCACGCTGGGCTTGGCACTGAGCAGGTTGAAGGCGGTCCAGGCAGTGACTGTCTGCTGAAGGCCACCCAGGCTGCTGCCTCGGTTGGTCAACACAAAGTTGTAGAAGGTGTTGGGCTTGAGGTGCGTGATGAGCTTTTTGGTGGTACGGCCATCCACGTCCAGTGTGAGCCCGTTGTATTGGATCTGTGGGCCAAGGCTAGCTCAGCGGGGGCCTGGGGTGAGCCCCTGACCCTGGCTGAGCCTTGATCCCAGACTGAGCCATAATCCCAGCTGAACCCCAACTCTGAGCACTGATCCCAGAAGAAGCCTCAACCCCGGACTAAACCCTGACCCTAGACAGACCCTCAATCCCAACTGAATCCCAGCCCTGACTGAGCCCTAATCCCAATCCTGAGTGAACCTCGACCCCAGGCTAAAACTCAATGCTAGACAGATCCTCAATCCCAGCTGAGCCCTGACCCCAGACTGAGCCTCAATCCTAGCAGAGTCCCAACCCTTGTTAACCCCTAACCTCAGATTGAGCCTAATCCCTCAATGCCAGCTGAGCCCTGACCCCAGTTCCCATCCCAAGTTAAGTGCTGACCGCAGACCGTGTCTCAATGCCAGCTGAGCCCTGATCCCAAGACGAGCCCAGCTCCTGAGCCTCAATCCTCGCGCTCGCCTGATCTCACTCAGCCCCGAGTCCAGCTGAATCCCCAGCCTGGTCCAAGCCGCGACTCAAGACCGACGGCCAACCCTGGCCAAGCCCCAGCCCCTAG